AGAATAGCTAATGGAAATGAGCTGGTAAGAGCAGTAGGACATTTCTATCCGACAGAGAACAAGGTCCAAATAATCGCTCGCCTCGAGAGTGTCGCTGAAAAGCGACTTTGTTTTGAAGTAAAGTTTCAGAGAGAAGTAATTCCTGTTCTCACGAAATTCTAATATTATAAATGGCTAAATATATTGTGGATATATTTTTCATATACACAGAGATATAATTGTAATAAAGAATATTACTGTGTCTTAATACACGTTAATACGTGTCAATGTTAATGTTCCTGTTTAAATCAAATAACACAATCAAATGATTCATCGTGTACTCACATCCGTTCCCATCTTTGCCTCCAATTATTATCTTACATGATCTCCTTTGCTCTTATATCCTCCAATATCTTTCCTTTTTTCCCGCTTTATGATATGCACGTATACTTTGCCTATATAAGACATCAAATCTTCATTCATCTCTTCATTATTTCTACTTCTTCTTCTGTTGAGGTTATGCATCTTGGTTTATTCTTTGTCTCGCTTGTTTTTTGTTTTAATATTGTATTTTTACTATTATTGCTGTGGTTTAATTACCCAAGTTTGAGGTCCACAGTAAACTGAAAGATTGCGATCAAACTGTAAATATTGTTACGATCAGAAGAAACGTACTATTAGATGAACCACATACACCACGCGGTACCTAAAAACACAGAAAACTGCTCAGTACTTATTAAGCAGGAAAATGCACAACAAAAACCAGTATTGTGCATTGGAATGCGACGGATCCAAACAAAGAATGCAACTATGGAAGGTAGAATTGGAACGCCCAAAGATACGGAAACCACGTTGTCGTCCATAGGCTGCAAATTTCCCTTGTGTGTAACGGGCCACCACGAAAATCTATTACATCAAATTGCCGATTTTCTACACTCCATTTCATGAAATATGTGATTATCATCGACAAGGTTCAAAGAACGAACACGATTTCAACAAATATTCCCAAATCGGGAAACAAATTCACCACTACTTATGCTGGAAATCAATCATGAAAAAATTTTTCAATCCATAGAACGTGAAATATCAGTACATGTCTGATAGTCTACAATTGGAAATTAATAGAGAACTCAATATTCTTAATCATAGAATAGCTGCTATTACTGATCGAGTGGCTATCACACGACAATCCAACTTTGGCTGCCAAGCTCATATTGCAACGAAACGACATCATCGCTGAAAGAATCAATGGTAAATTCTTGGTTGCTCTTTGTAAGTTCAAAGAAATAGAATCAACTATCATCGAATTCGAAGCAGGAATAATCAACAAATTCGAAAATGAAAGAATAAACGCAGAATTGGAGATTTTGGCTCGCAAACATGAATCAGTTCAATTGATATCCGAAACACGAGCCACCGAAACTATTTGGCAGGAAATCAGTCAACAAGGCGAAGAGTTCGCGGAACAATTGGAGGATATACCGGGCAAACACCGAAACCATGCAAAGAGAGCTTTCAGATCTCACTTGGCCCTGGCGATTGATTATATTTAGAAATTGTTTTTGCATTATTAGTTGCACTAATTATTCTCAAATGGAAATTCCAATTAGTTATTTCACTTTCAAGGTTCATATTTATTAGAAGGTCTAGAAGTAGAGAAACACTTACCACTGACTTAAACTTAATTCAAGCTTGTTCTATCCACAATTAAAGCCTAGAAATTTCTAACGATCAAAATGTTTTCTCTTATAGACCTCGAATCATTCCTTTAGAATATTTTTCTCTCCTCCCTCGAGAGCGAATTCGAAACTTCTTGAAATTATTTTAACTCCAATATTTATCACACAAATAATTGAGCTAAAAATTCCTTCTTAATGATTCATCATTTCTAATGTTTCCGTTAATTTTTGCGTTCTCACACCTAATTCACACTTCAATCTCTATTTCAACAGTTCTTTGTTCCAAATAACTAATCTAAACGTTCCCTTTATGTTTAGCCGCCTTCGGATTGTAAAAGAAATCGTTTCTTTTCATGATTGTATTCCTTATCATGTGAATTCTCATTTTTTTTGTGAACCTTATCCTTATCCTTATTATGACTTCCGGTGATTGATGCTTCTCCTTATAATATCGAGGCTATAAATGGACCGGGCGGAGGTGATTGAGAGAGTCTGGTGATCAATCAATTCAAACTAAACCAGTCAATTCAACTCACTTCAATTCTTCAAAGTTCAAAAGGAGTGTGGTCCAATCAAGCAACCAATCAACCAACCAACAAACCAACCAATCAACTGAAACCAAACCAATCAATTCAATTCTTCAAAGTTCACAACAATAATAATGTCCATGATCTGAATAAAATGTGTGCATTAAACATAAAACAAAAAATGATAAAAGTAATTATGGCGAGAAAAAAGTTCGCGTCCAAGCACAAAAAATTGAAAAAAAAATATAATTTAAGTAAAAAGTCACAAAATACTTTAAAATTATATGGAATATTTCATACTCTAAATATTATGTAAATGCATGAATTTATTCAATAATAATGTAACTGATGTGAATTTCATGATTTACCTTTCAATCAAATTTTAATGAATTAAATTATTTGCCCTTAAATAGTTATTAAAATTATAAACATTTAATGAATTTTCTGAACTTCATTACTCTTATTTATTACAAGAAATGTTTTAATAAATTTAAAACTTGCAATGATATTTTCAAAAAATATAACTTGGAATAAAATTGTTTGGTGAATTACTGTTAATCATATAACAACAATACATTCGGCAATATCGTATTTTTGACGCTTTACAAGAAGCGTTAGTTGATATCCACCTGTTTCTCAACACTAAGGTAATACCCGCAATACTTTTGGCATACTTTTACTTTTCTGTTTACCTAAATGTCGTAAAAACGGAACCTCAAACAAATAGTGAGATAAATTTCTTTGTCGTAAAAACGAAACCTCAAACAAATAGTG